GGAACTATCAAAATGAGGGTGTGAAAGTTAAGCAAAAACATGACTTGAAGTGCCTTGGCAATTAAGGCAAGTTGCCCAACTTATGCCTAAAATCAGCAAACTTTGTGATGTCATAACTTTTCACTCCTTGATCTAATTAAGAACTTATTTATATTCTTGTAAAGCTTAGATCAAGAGGAATAACTTTCATGTTGGATGAATTTTGATTTTAGGACAAGAAACCCAAGAGGCCTTGATTGGAAGTTCTTGCAAAAATGTTGCCCTAGGTTTTGCCCTACTTTGACCTCCACTCGAAAACATCATAATTTGAGTTCTAAAAACAATCTTGAGGAGTTCTTTGTATCAAAAGAAATCTAAGTAGATGATCTATAATTTTCATGTTGATGTCCAAGATAAATTATGATTGGAACAGTCTTGAATTTGTCCATGAAAATCACTCCAAATGTTGACTTCTTAACTTAGAAATTTTCACCATGAAACCCTAATTCTTCAAGTCTCTTGATTTTATTGTTCCAACTTAATTTTTTATGATCCAACCATATGAGATCATAGACTAAGACTTGTAAAGCTTATGGTTGACCATAAAACTTAAGAGTTAACTTTTGTGATGCCTCAGTTGACTTTTGAATCACATGAAGTCAATACCTCTCCTATCCACTTATGAAGCTTTGAATTGGATTTCTTTGAACCAAATGACATCTTAGGGACCTACAAAATGTATGAGAACCTCCTTGGTTGATTTCTCACTCAAATCATGATTAATCAGGGCTTCCTCATTTTCTCCACAAACCTTAATTCCACAAATCAAAACAAAACCACAAAGCTTGATGATTTGGTTAGTGATGCAAGGATGATTGACCTAAGATGTTCATGAAAATGTTGATGACATCTAAGGGGTAAAATTTGGGGTATGACATATCACACAAATCATTTCAAAGGAGCAATGCAATGAAAGTATGACTCAAAGCATTAACGCTACTGATGATGGTAGTAATGATCACTTGGAAACAAAAAATGATGTTGTCAAAAGTGAAGCTAAAAAACAAGAGGAATCTAGCAGAAATTCAAAAATAAGATGATAATGAAGCTGATATCAAAAGAGATGTTGTCGATAAGATCTTTATGCAAGATCGCATATCAACTCAACTGTAGGTGGCTCTCATAAAAGCATTTATTTCCCTCAATATCAAAAAGGAAAAACACCAGTGGGATTGTTTAAAAGTAACCAAGACATTCAAGGGAAAAATGCTGAAACATTATGGTGACATTGCAAGAATCACCATAATAAGACCTCTAAAATACCCCTAACACAAACATTGAGCTAATGACGTTAAACAAGCGCTTCTTGGGAGGTAACCCAACCTTTTAAATATTTATGGCTTTCTTTTTTTTACAGATTTCGAAAAGTGAGAAGAAAATGGCATGACATGACACAAGAAAATTTTGACTGAAGTCTGCAGAGTTTGCTCAGTAAAAATTCCAATCATGCCATTTACTTCACTTCAGTGTTTTATGTTTTTAATAGTATTTAGTTGTAGAAGTTTCCTATGTCCAATACCTAATATTGTGCTTAATCTTTTGTCCTCTAAATTGAGTTGAAAAGGCAAAGAATGGAAATACCAAGTTACATGAAACAACGAAGATGCAATGGTAATGATAAAATCAGACAAAAGTCATGCAAGGTACATGTTTACATGCTTTGCCGAATGTTAGCATGATTGTGAGTTTTTTTTCCTACAAAGTAATATAATGCCTCATTTTTCAATGTATACCTTTCTTGCTTGAATCATTTAGCAAAAACCAGAAAAAGCGAGAAGAACTTCCATTGTTTACATAAACACATTATGTGTGAATAATCTTTGTGTTGAACTCGGTTGATTCATGATAAATCTGATAATTCCATTTGAGCTTTGGAAAAGCATAAAGAAGATAAAAGGAAATTGTTTGTTATTGAGAAAAACCACCAAATCCAAAAGAGCCTCATCATAAATAAAAAGTGAGTGAGCATTTCTACACCTATTTGAAGCAGAAAAATAAAAGGATGGATCGAATTTTAAAAACAATATAAAGCCAATAGAAAAACCACTTAGTGAAGGTTTGATCCATTTCAATTTTTCTGTGTGCACAACCTAAACTATAATGATATGAATCATCAAGAGCTACACTCATGAAAAGAAATAAGTTGGGGAGAAATTTGATGATGATACAAAGTGGAAAAGAAAAAGAAAGATAGTTAAATGGGAGAAAGAAATAAAAAAAATAAAAATGTGGTGTCACAGAGGAAATAAAGATTGAAAAGAAAAACAAAATAAAAGAGGCAAGATTATGATGATGAATCAATAAATGAAGCAATTTACAAAGGTGGACAGATTTTTGATAAACTTAGCTTTAGGAAAAAAAAACCATTTCCTTATGAAACCTGACCACATTACAAACTTCACAAAGTCCTTTATGATTTATGCTTTCAAATGCTTGAATATTGAATTGCTCGGACGAAAACATGAATTAATCAGGATGTTGACCAAGATTATGGATAAGTGTCCATTCACCACATGATTGAAAAATTTCAAGGTCTTAATCACTTTTATGAAGAAGAGTGCTAGGATAAAATTCAATTAAATTGTATCATTGTCTTTTGTATTATATGATTTGATCTTGTGGGGAAAAACTGAATTTCATAATCATTCTCTGATTCTACAATCAGTTGAACATGACACTTGCATGACAAGTAGTCATCTGAATCATTCATGTTTCAAATTGTTGTTCAAATACTTGATTAATGATTTTAAAAAATATTTATTGAAAAGATCATGCTCTTGATTGAGGATAATAAAGAAATTAAGTTGGGAGAATTTGATGGAGGTTTAAATAGTTGACAAATCTTTGGTAAAAACTTGACAAATGCTTGCTTCCATTAACTAAAAATGATGAAACTTGACTAACTATGATCCAAGAATGTGTTACTTTTGAATAGTTAAGTTTCTGCAGAAAATGACAAAGGAAAAATTAGATACAAGCAAAAAGAAATCATGCCCTGCAACTTTCGTATCGCGAGCAAACACTTCGCTACACGAAGAGGATGCGAGTCACATCAAAAGAGAAACAAAACCAAAATGACAAAACTTCGCATCACGAGAAATACTTCGCTACGCGGCGTTTGCATAGCGAAGTGAGAAATAAAAGCAAGAGCACCAGAGTTCGCTTGAAGCGACATACACGATTAAAAACACAGAAAAGTTTGCTATGCGAACTTTACTTCGCATAGCGGAGTATGGAAGTTCCCATAGGCGATTTAAAAGTTCTTCATGGTTAAGCAAGCTCACTTCGCATAACGACCTAAACTTTGCATAGCGAAAATGCCTAAACTCAACCAGTATAAAAGGGGTGCAGCAGAAACATTTTGGATGATCAGAGGATAACATATATAGATATTGTAATAGATAGTAGTACTAGTTTGTAATAGATAGTAAGAGAGGGAAAGTGAGGATCCGAGCTGGATATGCATCAAGAGTCGGGAAATTGTCGTTGATGCTTATTCATCTCAATTCCTCCATTTTGTATTAAGCAGTCATGAGTAGCTAAATCTCTTTCTTGTTGGGATTGATTATAGTTCACTGAAATAATATGCATTTTCATTGACCATGGCGTTATATGCAATGTATTTATGAATCATTATCGATGTTATCTTGGTTTTATTGTTTAACTCCATGGATTTGAATTGATATTGAGAAATACGATTCTAATCTCAATCTAAGATAATCATCTATTAAACTCTAAATGATAGACAGAGATTTAGGTTTAATATTCACCGTAAGTATCGATTCTTAATGTTGCCATATTGTTTAATAGGCTGAGAAATCGTCGATTAAACAATAAGGTAGAATCCTCATAAGATGTTTAAACATAAACTCTATTTGTAAGCGATACGTAATGATATTGATACATGCTTAGATTGTGTATAATTGATCAGTAGTTTGCATATTTAATCAAGGGATGAAATCCAATTCCAGCAAACTTATTTCCCCAAAAACTATCTAATTACTTATATGTTTTTACATTTAGTAACTTACAAATCAAATATCTTGCAAAACTTCCGCTTAAAATCATATTAACGGTTGAACAACATTAATATCACATCAGTCTTTATAAATACGATAAAAACAAAATACTTACTTTTAATTACTCATCATTAAAATAATAATTAATAATAAATATGAAAAAAAAAGTAAGAGAATGACATTTAAAGTTGATGTTAAAAAAGATGATGACTAGAAAGTGATGCAGATGAAAGCTTGATTAAATTCATTGGGTCATTCAAAATACTTACTTTTTATTTATTTTTTGATTAAGTTATAGTATATTTTTTAACTAAAATGTTCACTTCTTATTAAAAAACAATGTAAAAGTATACTAACATTAGCATATAATTGAACGTCGAATGAGAATATCCAGCTCAAAAGTTAACTATCCTACTCTCTTTATCTTCTTAGACATGTTACTTATGGAAGAAGAAAACTAAGTTATCGCTTCTCAGTGACCGGCCACACAATCATTACTTGCCGATTTTTTTTGCTTTTTGACTATCCGTTCCCACAAATATTTTAAAATTTGTTTTTATCCACCGACTCATAGAACTCTCCAACAAATATTCTTAGACCATTTTTACATGTACTAACAATGTATGTTACCGTAGTTAAGATTGGAGAGACAGCACGATAAGATTAAAAACATGTTTCACCTTAAATTCGCCAAGTGACAAAACATTATAGAATCTATATCCTGTGTTCCCATCATAGGTGTCAAATAGTTGGTTGCGTCTTGGTAAAGTACAAGACTTTGAGGCCTTTTCCAAACCCCCAAGAACCTACTTTTTTATCTTGTCCTCGGAAAAAGAATAACTATTCATCTAAGTTATTCTCAACTTTATTACTTTTCATTCTTATTATTATATGCCAAAAATACAACACACTAGTGTGTAGAGTTTTCGTGATCAATCATACATGGAACGCTACGAGGTTGTCAAGGAAATTGGGTCTGGGAATTTTGCTGTGGCGAAGTTGGTTAGAGATGTTTTCACTAAAGAGCTTTTTGCGGTTAAGTTTATTGAAAGAGGCCAAAATGTATTTATATGGTTTACCACTTTCATTTTTTATGTGTTGTGTGTTGTGTTTGTATGTGTGTTTGGTTCATTGTTGAGATTTGTGTACTGCAGATTGATGAACATGTTCAGAGAGAAATCATGAATCATAGATCGTTAAAGCATTCTAATATTGTTAGATTCAAAGAGGTTAGTCACTTTACTCAAGATCCTTTCTATTTTATTAACTTGTGATAATGTTTTGCTCTAGTTTCTTGGTTTGATTCAATTTGTTATGGATTGTAGAAACTTGTGATTAAGTCTTTCTTTGAATGAACTTTGATGAAATGACTTTGCAGGTTCTGCTAACGCCAACACATCTGGCTATAGTAATGGAGTATGCTGCTGGAGGAGAACTCTTTGAGAGGATATGTAGTGCTGGTAGATTTAGTGAAGATGAGGTAATATAGAAACTGAAGTTACTGTGGTTTTAAATTGCGGTCGTCGTTGCGGGGCAGCAGTTGCTGTGATGCGTATTGCGGCCTGCGGCATGAATTTTGATTAAGAGTTTGAAATACGCAGTTTAAAAACTCTTAATGTTAAGAATTTTTAGAAGTAAATTGAGATTTGGGTTCTAAATTTTGAGTGTTGCGATTGCAGTCATTGCAGTTATTCCGATGGGCATTGGAGCCGTTACAACGTGAATTTTGGTTGAGAAGAGTTTGAAATACACTGTTAGAAAAGACTTAATGTTAAGATATATTTTTAGAAGTAAATTGAGTTTTGGATTCTAAAAGACTTAATGTTAAGATATATTTTTAGAAGTAAATTGAGTTTTGGATTCTAAATTTTGAGTTTTGACGAAAACACTTAAGAAACCTGGCGAAGTTGTCGGTTCTTAATATCGAAGGACGCGTGATTTCAAATCACACCTCAATTACACTCCGATGCAGTTGCGGTGACTACCACATCAACAATACTGTTGTCGGACTACAATTTAAAACTATGATACTATTTTAATAGTTTATGTAGTATTTCTTTATGATATTATTCATATTCTGATCTTGTGTAAATGTTCTCATTTGATGAAAAAGGTTTAACGATATCCATTTCTAGTTAACTCTTTCTGTTAAGCTTGTATAATCATTGTTTCATTCATAATATTTGGTCCAATCTTTGAAATTTTCATTATCAGGCAAGGTTTTTCTTTCAGCAATTGATATCTGGAGTCAGTTACTGTCATTCAATGGTACGGAACGAAACAAAACCGTTATGATATACTCCTTATTATTACTCCTTATTATTACAATGACTAGATATTTTTAGTTAAAGGAAGTTTTTTATGCAGCAAATCTGCCATAGAGATTTGAAGCTTGAAAATACACTCTTAGATGGAAGCACCGCACCACGAGTCAAGATTTGCGACTTTGGTTACTCAAAGGTAACATGTTTACAAAACATTACAAGTCTAGAATCGTTTTTTCAAGTGATATTCATTTGTTTTTACCTTGTCCTTTAGTCATCTGTATTGCATTCGCAACCAAAGTCTACGGTAGGAACTCCGGCTTACATTGCACCCGAGGTCCTTACGAAGAAAGAATATGATGGAAAGGTGAGTCTTACTTTTTTCTTATGCATTTGGATAATATTGAGTGTAACCGGACGCAATCAACCACATTGGATGGCTCAGTTTCCAATGCAGAGTTTAATTTGCTAACTATATTTTCATTGAAAGTTATAGGTTGCAGATGTTTGGTCTTGTGGAGTCACCTTATACGTGATGTTAGTCGGCGCGTATCCTTTTGAGGACCCTGAGGATCCAAAAAACTTTAGGAAAACAATCAGTGTGAGTGCTGTTATTTGCAAACTTTATGGATCCTTAGGCAAAATGAAATTTAGAAAGAAGACTGGATTGTTTAGTCATACTTTCTCCGTTCTGATGTTTTAGTCGGACCTCTCTTGGTTAATTGCAGAAGATACTTAGTGTCCAGTACAAAGTTCCTGATTTCGTACGAGTTTCATTGGAATGTATACACCTTCTTTCTCAAATATTCGTCGCTGATCCTGAAAAGGTATGCAGATTGTTTAATTTTGAAAATCAAGTTTTCGTTTCTTTGGCAATAAATTCCTAAGAGCATTAGACTTAGTTACGGATGTGCTAGATCACAATGATTGTTTATGTATCACCGATACTTCAAATTGAACATGTGTCTGAATGTGTGACACGTGTCACGACATTGACACTTGTATTACATAGAATTACTTCTATTTGCTATAATTGTTATTAGCGTCTACATATCAGCATCAGTGTCGTGTCCAATGTTTCTGCTACATAGTTTCTCTATATACTTGAAATGCATGTAGCTTACTTTTGAATTTCATGGAGTCTTTTATTCCATTTTACAGAGAATAACAATACCAGAAATAAAACAGCATCCATGGTTTTTGATGAACTTACCAGTAGAGTTAATGGAAGGTGGAAGCTGGCAAACCAATGATGTAAATAATCCATCACAAAGTGTTGATGAAGTTCTGTCTATCATACAAGAGGCAAGAAAACCTATTAACATCCCGAAACTTGGGGGCCTTCTTAGTGGAGACAGTATGGAGTTGGATGATTATGATGCCGATATCGAAGATATTGATACATTTGGTGATTTTGTCTGCCCTCCTCTTTAAGTGTATTCATGAACATAAATCAGCTATCATTAGCTGCAAGGGTGATGAAGGTATGTGGCCTCAACATCAGGTTGAAGATGTGTTATGTGACCGACACTGACATGACAACAACACATGTGGTTATACTCAAGTACGTCATTCTATCAAGGTTTAGTGACCGACCTTGATATTGACGTGTTAGTGTCGTGTTTAGTGTTTAGTATTTATGGTAGTATCAGGGTCGTGTTTAGAATTTATATTTATGTCAGTGTTTTGTAGTGAAGAAGTTCCTTGTTTATATTGCAAATAAAACACGTGTAAGCGTTATCAAATACTGGAACTTGGAGATTCAAGTACCTTTTGTAAACATGTAAAATATTACATGAGCTTTTCCAAAGAAGAGAATATTAAGGAAAGCAAGTTGTGGAATAAGTTTCACTAGTTAGATTATTTGCTTAGAAGACTTCAAAATAAGAAAGAAGACATCATAGTTGTATCCAAATGTGTAGTAATTCAATATCTATATATAATATAAGAGAAAGTAGAAGCAATAATGTTTAAGTCGTAACTAAAAATAGAAAGTGTTTGATTTGAGATTTTATGGGAAACAAAGGGATAGTGTTTGGTCTTATATTGTGTATGTATGAAGGACATAATATGAGAAAGGGTATTGGTCTAGCATGTAGGGTGGTTTGGAGAACTAACTTAAATAGATTTTGCATTTTTAGTTTGTTCAACTTCTTTTGTTTCAATATTTTTGTAATATTCAATTATTTGATACCAACTCTTTCTTTTTGAAAGGTGGGACCTATACAAGAGTAGTTTATCTAATTCAGTTCACGAAGGATTATTTTGCTTTACTTATATAACTTACTCTTCAATATAAATATATACTATATTCTAGAGTTACTCAAACGCTTTTTTAACTTGCAAAGAACAAACTTTTAATTAATTAATTTTTTTCTTTTGTTAATTTTGTTAGTCTTAGTGATTATGGTGGTAAATTTGTAAACTATTAGTTTGAAAATTTTTGTAACGAAAACAAGATAACTCATAATTTCTCATGTCCGCATATTCCACCACACTAAAATGGTGTTGTTGAGTAAAAATCGTGTCTTAGAAAAATTGACCCGAACAATAATAAAAGAAATGAATTTGCCTAAGTACTTTTAGACATATGCGTGACTTAAACAGGGTGGTTAGTCATCCAACCTATAATAAAGAAGACACAATATGAACTATTTAAAGATAGGAAACCTAATATTTCTTACTTTCGTGTTTTCGGCTGCAAATGCTTTATTTTAAATAATGAAAAGAACAATCTTTATAAGTTTAATGTAAAACCTAATGAATGAATTTTTCTAGAATACTCATCATCAAGTGAAGAATAGAGTTTTCAACAGCATAAGATTTGTTGTTTAAGAGTTAATTCATTTGTCTTTTGATAAAATCATACCCTAAAAGTCAAGAAAAAAGGTAGTCTTTCTGGTTTTAATGTTTTAGGTATGATAACAGAACGATTGGTAAAGGACAACACTCTTAAACAGGATCCTTATAATGAAATGATAAACAAGAAATAGAACAACAAGACGAAAAACAAGAGACCTTATCTCAACTATCTCTAGATTGAATTGTTGCAAAAGATCATCCATTAGATTAGATAATTTACGATATCTAGATTGGCATAAGTACTAGATCTCAGCATAACAATTTCATTTTCCAAATTAAACCTAAGACTACATCTGATATTTTACTTGATAAGAGATGACTCTTTGTTATGCAAAAATAGCTTATTCAATTTAAATGTAATGACGTTTAGGACTTTGTTTCACGTCCTAAAGATAAAATTGATATTGGCAGTAGATGTGTGTTTAGGAACAAATTGGATGAAAACAACATAATTACTAAGAGTAAAGTTAGGCTAGAGGCAAAAAGTTATAGTCAGATTGAAGGCATTAAATACGAACAAAAATTAACTTGATCATATTTTTACAAAACCCTTACGCACTGAATCCTTTCACCAGATACGAAAGAAATTGAGAATCATAAAGATAATCGTCATCAATAGGTGGGAGAAAAAAATCATAAAGTATTAATGTCCTTACTCCACGAAATTCGCATAGTGGAAGAAATGTTTTAATCTTGTACTCTGTACTATACATCTCACGTAAATCCTTTTGATCTTATCTTCTAATATTAAGTGGCTTCTGAAATAAAGTTGTATGAAGCATGTTTAGAAGAGTCAAGGATCTGGTTGAGAAGCTTAAGAACTTAAGTCTTCAAAGTTATAACATTGTTCCTCAGAATCTGGTCTTCAGAATCTTTAGCACTTTGTTCTTCAAAATCTTCAAAACTTGAGCACGGAACCTTGAAGGTAAAAAAACTCTTTAAAGGATCTTCAATCAGAGTCACAGGCATAAGCTTTAGCACAGACGTTCTTTAGAACCGTTATCTAAGAGCTTTCTAGAACTTGATAGCATCTTGTGAAGCACTTGTATATCTTTAGAGTCAGAGTGTGTTGATTCCAGAATTTGATGATGTCACACGTAAGAGCTTTAGAGTCAGAAACGTTTTAGCCAAAAGCTACACACTAGACAAAAATCATTAGTGTAAAAATTGTTCTCTAAGAAACAATGTATTGTTATCATCAAAACAAAAGACCGGATTCAGAACCAAAACTTGTTCTTACAATTTCCCCCTTTTTGATGATGACAAAATCATGTATTTTGATGAACAATTTTTACAAGGTTTTAATCATATAAATATATCAGAGTGAGGTTTGTAAGCTCCCTTTGAATTTAATATTGTTAAAAATTATTTTTCAACTTAGAATTTCAGAGTTAGGTTTGCACGCTCCCCCTGAATTTAAGACCTAAAATAATCTCATAACATATAAATGTTTTAAATTAGCACGAAAGAAATAACTTCCCATATGGCGTAAGCCAGGTTGTTACAACTTTCTATTCAGACAGAAGCCTGATCACTATCTTCCCTTAAGGCAGAAGCCTGATTGTAGTGATTGAAGTAACATCCCAAATTTCAACAGCTTGGGTACATCAATATTTTTTCAGAATACTTATTTAAGTACCAGAAGGTCTGTATATCAGTCTCGACACAGAGCATGATTTGTCAAAGCTTTCTGATGTTTAGTTTCAAATACTAGGTTGTATAATATAAGTTTGATTGAAAACGTAACTTGTTCAGTGCACTGGTTTCAGAACATAGTCTTTATCAGAACTTGTATACGCCTAGTTTCAATATGTTTTATTTATCTTCGATTAAATGAACACTTGGTTCAGAACCTTAAAACCTGGAACACTTGGTCAGAATGATGAACTTTCACAAAATTCTCAAAAAAATTTACCAAGTTAAAAACTGTTTGAAACATGTTTGGGTTTTCAAAATGGGAATTTGATATATCAAAATCATACACTATTTCTCCCCCTTTGTCATCATTCAAAAAGAAATAAAGAGACAGAGTAAATAAATGAGACAAAATTTCATTTCATTAATCAGATAGGCAAATAAATACATAAATGAAAGAAAAAAACAGAACAAAGATAACACAAAAAAAACTAAGGTTCAAAGGCTTTAGGTAGTCTTGACATAATCTCTCCAAGCATCCCTTCAATCTTTGTTGTCCTTTCCTTCACTTCAGAATTCTCTGCAGCCAGATAATCCAACTTCTTCAGAATATATTCCTCAAAATCAACGGTCTTCTTAGTGCCAGACACACTAACAACTTCCAGAGAGGTTTCAGAAGTAACCAGAGTATTCTAAGCAGTGGGCGGAAGAGGAATCACTTCTGGTGCAGGGAGAAGAAGAGCGGTAGAAACCTTCTGAAGTAGATGTTCAATAATGTCAGAGAGTCTGGCATGGAATTTCCTCTTAGCTTCTTTCAGCCAAGCAACTTCTAGCTCTTCAGAACTGACCTTTATGCATCTTCTGAAGACGTTGGTCAGATCAGACACTTTAGAGTGGTTTGTATTCCTTTTGCAAGCTTCAATGAGAGTATCTAGTCTGCCAGCAACATCCTCTTCAAACTGTTCAAATGATTCATCCATGGGAGTAGGACAGATGTTGGTTTGAGAGAGTGTTTAATTAGAGAAGGGTTCAGAAAGTCTATCTGGGTAGACAATGAGCTCAATTCATGACTCATCATTATAATTGATGGTTGGTAGGTGATGTGGGTGTCAGAATGAGATGAGTTTGATGGTTGAGGGTTTACACAGGGAGTTTTTATTGGGGTGAGATATTCTCAGTTAGGACAGTTCGGTGCATTAAGATTGGGGTAAGAGAAAAGGTGGAAAGGTTAGAAGGTTAGCAATAGTTGAGGGTAGAAGGATAGGAATTTGTAGGTCATAAGGGAGGTTAAGAATTGAATTTGTGGTTTGGGGAGTAGTTAGAACGATAGGTTCCAGAACGAATGGAATGAAATAAAATATAGTGGATATGAGGGTGGGTGAAATATTTACATCAGTAAGTTGAGGAGCAACAGATGTAACAACAATTCTAGTAGCAACAGTAGCAGTAGTAGCAGAGGTTGCTTTAGAATAAGTTTCTAGAGTTTCCTTAGCCTTTTTTAAGGATATTTCCTTATCTCCTTGATGGCTCTTCCTTTACTTCTTTTGCTTTTAAGTAAACTTTTGTATGTCCTTGGAAGGCTCAAAAAAGGAAGGAATAGCATTATAATAGTTGTTGTTGACTTCTCTTCCCTCATAAGAAGCACTTTCTGGATTGAAGAACAGAGGAAAGTCATCCAGAGGAATCCTTCTGCTGCAGATCTCTTCCTTTGGAATTTCAACAATTGTGATCTCAATAGCAAAAATCATGCCCATATTCTTCAGACTCTTGGAATTGAGGAATCTTCATGTTGTGGATATCAGTCCTTGAGAATTTTCACAATCTGTTAGAGAGCCTATCAGACGACTCTCTAGTAGAATATGTGAAATAAGTCAGCCAAATGGAATCCAAGGTTTCATCTTTCTGCTTTCATTCCTTGAGTCTTTCAAAAAATCTCT